CTAAACAATCTGATGGGATTTGGTGAACGTGAGCGGGATGCGAGAGGAAGAGAGGGAGACCGACACGCTCGCAGTTTCTCTTGTATCCGCCAAACACAATCCTTGGTATTCAATCAAGACAAATGTAAAAAGTGACCAGAGCTAAGTCCTTTCTTGACTATAAAGAACAACGTCTCTAATAGGAAAGGAATATGCTGATGGTTTGTGCCACTTTGGATGGAAAAGCATACTGGATCGAATAGGTGCCTACTTCAACCACTGTAATATGTTAACAAGTTTGCTCCAATCATTCCCTTTGTCTCGTGAGAAGCGACATCAGCACATTCTGCCGCTGTATACATCAACCGTCCATCAAGCAGCTGAGAAGGCAGGATCGTGGAAAATTGTGGCCAATTTTTGATGTCGCCCCATGTGCATGAATTACTTTTGCTTATAAGATAATTATGAAAGAAGCTGTTTACTAACGAAGCTCCATGGTTTAGCTCCCAAAGGAAAGGAATAGACTTCAGAGACAATGTTTTCACGTTTGTAGAAAGTGGATTAGTGGTGCCGACTAGAGTAAAAGCTCAGAATTTTAGCCTTGAAAGATATGACATCGAAACAGAATACTGATTTTGTCTTAAAGCTAGTATGATCATCTTTTTGTCGTTGACGTGAAAATGTGCTTTTGCAAATGGAAGGTTTAGAAGATTGCTTGGAATTGCTTGCTACACCATGCGCGTTTTGTGGTTGTAATCCAAAAGATTGCCCATGGAAGCTATTATTTACGCCAAAAAATCGTCAGTGTGGAGATGAATTATTTTTGACAGTAGATGGGAAACTGTCGTTGGCTGGACACTAATCCACTATCGCGTTTTGTTCTGCAGATATAGGTAGATATTCTGTAGTCCCTGATCAAAGGTGTCGCTATCGCGATGTCACTGTCCTCACCAATGCTCTGCGTGCTCGCGTCTCAAATGCTTCTTCATTATTAGTAATGAAGAATTTACCTTAGTGAATAAGGAATCCTTTAGCAGTTCTTCAGTATGCTCAAACCACTTCTTAACAATTCTTGGATGGCATATTCATCTTCTCCGAGAATATTTAATAACTGCCGTTCCTGGCCATTTAATTGCTTAGGTCGTTCGACGAGTGTTCCGCCTGAGTAAAAAATATCAATTTAGTTTTGCCATAACAGGACTTTAAGAATTTGCACAGCAGAATTTCGGTGTTTTAACTCATCTTTTTTCTCAGTTTTTCGTCTTCGTAATCACCGCCTGAGATCAAACATGTTTCAGATGGGGGGTAAACGAGATAGGTTTGAGTTTGTTGTTAGTGTTTTCTTGCATTATTTCTACCTCTATATTTTCGCCATGCGGCTGAGGCGATAGGAGACGTGACATCGGTTTAAGCAATGACATGTGATTGGAGGAGATTTGGCATTAAGGTAACATTACTTAGGTACTAAAAAGTTATCTAGGTTAAGCTTAAAGCAAATGTTACTTAGCCCAAAGTTAGTTGGCACTGATTAATCAAGAACTAGTTTTAGAGTCAACGTCTAGGTTAAACACTGCTTGTTAGGCAGTAATTTCATCCTTTCTCCCCTCAGCCTTCTATTTTGAACCCTTGAATGGAAAGGATTGGTTCGTAGGCCACATTAAGTGTTATTAAACCAGAGCTTTTTATTGAGCTATCAAGCATTTAGGAGACATCTGTATTCGTTTTCTTCATGGTAATCGCTGGCGTTCTCTCGGCCCCGAGCTTAGTCCATTCAAACAGAAGTGCATTGCATTTAGTTCAAAATAATGATACAACCAAATTGCCATAGTCATTCATTGGTCTGGAAGTCATGAAGGTTGGTGCTGAGGAGAAAAAGAGATGTGAAGAAGAATATCACCTTCCCCACATCATTATCATATCTAATCCTTGAAAGCTTTATCCATGCTTTTGTGGATCCATTCACCTGTTTTTCTTTACTATCTCCTTACTGAGCATAAAAGAACACAATTTACTCAAGGTTGCACGGTTCGTTCTACAATCATTTCATCTCAGTCTGGTAGCTACTCGCAAATACATTTATCGTAAAGCAAAACCTCTAACTAAGACGGTCTAGTGTGCTTAATACTCTACATCCTCCTCGCCTTGTCAATCTCTACAGTTTTCTGATGCACAGTAGACTATGTAAGGCCCATTTTAGGCGTTATAGATGGCAGGAGGCGTTGTTTCTCCCTATCACTAGCACCAACTGTCTCATCATGAACGTTTTCACATTCTTATATCTGTTGTGGCTTTAATTGCTTATTACCTACCAGTAGGTTGAAGCCAGTATTCCACGTCGCCTTTAAAATTGTGTTTAGGAATTTAACGGTTGGTCTGCCCTCCAAATGACCCCGGGCATTTACTCTTTTGACTAGGATTTTGGGCACTGCTGCCAACAATATAGAGCTCAAGGACGAGTGCGTATGATCCTCTGAGCTACCACGGGTCTCACGGATCGTGGTTAAGAAGTATAGAGTCGGAAGCCTTCTTCTGTACATCAGCCGTAGAAAAATGGATGTAGTAATGAAGGAAGACGTTTTTTCCCTAAAATCACTTATTCCTTGGACTGTTTACAAGGTTCAAAATGGTTAAGAATAAGGATATTAACTAACAAATATTGGCCAGTGGGCTGCTGTCACGTCTACTTCTCAGTCATTTATGCGATAATCTCTGATCAGACTACTCCTTGAAAACTTTATAGTGCAGTCCTACTAAGCGCCGATTTCAGTGACAAAACAAATGGATACAGTTAGAATTTTAACTTGAACATGTTCCTACCATAAAATGCCGAAAATTCTGGTCCCTGTGATGATCTGTAACATTTTGGGAATCACAATACAAGACCGCGCGCATAAGTTCAGGACGTGACCACCACCAACCATATAGGCAGAACTCTGAAGCCGCCTGGGCGAAGAGAGCTAATGGCAACAATTTTTAAAGCTCTGCTAAAATCTAAAGTTCGTCTCATAAGCTAACAGAAAATCAGACCAATAAAAATGCGAAGTGGGTGAAACAACATGATGAGGCTTTCGAGGGGCTAAGAAAGTGCTCTTCTCTGCGTTTAATTTCAGCACTACCTTATTTCGAGTCGGGCGCCCCACTAGCCATTCTGATCATCCACACCAATGGTACAGCTGCAGATGGTTGACTTGAATCAAAGGAAACACAAGGTCAAAAAGGCATCGTAGGGGCTCTGGCAGAGAGAACGGGCACTGAAATTGCTGCTTTCTTACTGAATACTGAGAAAGGAAACTACTATGTACTTGTGATAGTGGATTACACAGCAAAATTTGTTGAGGCAAAGAAGCTTTGCCAACCCAAAATGATGAAACGGTGGCTTTTGTTTTTGCTAACAGATGGATCTGATAGTGTGAGGTTCCGAGACTGTGGATAGTAATCAGTGCTAGCTTTGAGATTTAACTAACTCAGACGACACCTACAACGGAGGGTAGCAGACAAATTGGCAGAACAATATTCCCGTTACTTTGGCCCAAATCAGTACCTCTTAGAGTATTAAGTTGCAGTTCATACATCTGCTGGTGCCTCACTGTTCAGAAAGCTTTCTGGTAGCAGAAGAGGGGCACCCACGAGTATTTTTTCTATCAGCTGGCGACATATTGAATTACGTCGTTCTATAATGCAAACTACGGCCAAAACAAGAAATGAGAAATTTTAACCTCAAATTTTGCAGTCACGACGGCTCAGCAAACTCAAAATCCATCAAGATAAACCAGCTCCATATCACGAATTTCATTACCCTTGAAGCAAATATGCACTTGCTGCCATGTTTTCAGCGTACCGTTCCGTGAACGACTAATTTTAGTTCCCTAATCTAAAATGCGATCTTATCAAGGAAATTCACAGGCCAGGCATAGGAAGAAGTTAAAGTGTTAATCACCTCTAGCATACGAATAAATAATTCCCTCACTGGAACGCCTTGAAAGGTCGTCAAAACAGCGAGGGGGCTGTGTGATATATATTTGAATGAAAACACCTTTTTAGCAACAAGCTGCAAAATAATCTCGTCTGAAATCCACAGGGCATCTGCACTCAATGCCACTTCCGCAAATGCGATATTTTTCGGGGATTTCCAAGAGTGCCTATTCGTGCCACTAACAGCATGTTTAGTTTGCATGAACCAGAAGGCATTCCCTTTGGATTCTCCCACCTTACCCAAAATTGGAAAATATTTTTTGGCAAATCGTCTCAATAAAAGATGGAAGATCATGTCTCTTGAAAGATAAGCCATTGAGTTTGACAAAAATGGCGATATGGACAACATGAACAATCTCTCAAGCAAATGCAAATCCCGATTTTCTTATTGAATATTTACTATTTGTACACCTCTTTTAAGAAATTACATTATTTTAACAGAAATCCAGTCGTCTCATTCAAATAATCTCGGAGCAGAGGTAGGTATGAGAAAGGGCAAAGTTTCGCCATTGATCTACTTTTACCAACACTAAGTGATGGTTACGATTCGAGGGTGGTATTTTGTTATAGTAAGATTTTTAAAGCAAGTTTTCTCCCAGGTGACATGGTTTCCAAAGTGTTTTTGCACTTTTAACCGTAAGGAAAGCCCACCACATTCAAATCTAACGTAGTTATTCGGGCATAAATTGGTGCCGTAGAAGTTGAGGTAAGTAGCTAATGGATAGTTTGGACATAGTCAACGGTGGAATACAAAGGCCATTTCTCACCCCAAGTCATTCAACCCGCAGACAACCGATAGTCTTGGAAGCTTATTGCCGCAAGTGTAACATATTTGTCCAGTGCCTTTCGCGACTTCCTCCCATTTGACATGGGTGCACACGAGTTGCTTCTGCCAATAGCAGTACGCAATTCTTCGCTATTATCAAGGATGGAGATCCTTTTTGGGAGTAATGCATCCATCCGGATAGTACTTTCTCCTACTTCACCTACTCCCCTCCTCAATACTATATGTGACGAAAAGATTCCGCAAAATATCCTTGAGGTAAACCCACCAACTTAACTCGACATCCCATGAGGGATCGCGGCAAGCAGATGCACGCATACACAAAGATCCGTGTATTTTGCAAGTCCCTAATAGTTACAACAGGTCACTATAGCAAGATAAGGGCAAGAACTGCACAAAGTTTTTGATTACTTGATAAAAAATACAATTTCCTGATTATGGTAAAATCTACAGAAACTACTTCTTAGCCCCATCTCGTCTGGCGGTTTTAGCTGTTAACCGCTAAACGAGTTGTGACGCCTTGTGTATTTAGCATGCATATATGACTACTCACTAAGAGGAGTAATTGTCTAGCAAAGGTCTCTAAACCCAGAAAGAGCCAAAAGGGTACCGAACTACCAGGCTGCGCAACCTCACCAAAACTTTACTCGTGATGTTTGTAAGAGGTTTGTGGGAGGTCGAGGGTCGAGATTCCTGCGATCATGTAACTGTCAAGCTGTTGCAGTTGGAGGGCGGGTTATACCGCGACCGGACTTCTCACATTCCGAAAGCGTCGACAATCAGGTAAACTCCCATTAATCTCCAAAAATAACCAATCGTAGCTTTCGATAATATGTCATAATGAGATAAAAGCTCGATATAATACTGGTTTAGGGAGCACTTAGACAATTGAGCGAAAAACGTTGCACTTGTGTTTCGAGAGCAGAGATTATGGCAGTCTTCCACTCCAACTACATCTTTTGATACTCATTAAATTGGAACCAATCAAATACAGCCTTATCGAGACAACTCGTACGTTAACGGTATTCAACATGAGCAAAAGACAACTTAAGGAACAATTTTCCATAGTATTAAATCGTCGGTAGAAAGAATAACTAAACAAGAGGACTACTTCGTGGTATCACCAGAGTCTGTTGTCCCACCACCATGGTCCTCCTGAAAACCATTAACACAGAGTGGGAAGACAGGTATCTTCACGTCAACCGTCGTCCCATTGCGTTTCTCCAGTCTAAATTGGCCCCACATATGTGCCCACGGAACTGGCACTTGGACATGGCTGTGGTACTGAAAGATTGGACTCTGCACAGGCAGAAGGGGTTGCTAAAATAGTGGGAAAAGGTTCACATAAACGTTGCTCATTTAAGTAGCATAGGTAGTAAGTCACTCACCACTCCAACGACGCCTTTGCCGGAGACGGATTCGAGGCTACCATTGATGGAAAAAAGTTTCCAGAAGCGTTCTCGCAGCTGCAGACACTCGTCCGTCAAATTCTCTAGGCGAATCAGGTAACGCCACTACACGGAAGGAAAGTTAAAACGTCTGACTATACTCAAATCAGTCATTAGAGAATCAAAAAATTCATCTGATTCTTCATAAATACAACTGCAAAATACTCATCAAAGGAGTTCTTACGTCTAAGTAGTCACAGTTACAACCTAGCATTTAATCCCTTTTCCAACAAAACACGAGTTAATCATGAAATGTACTTTTATAAAGTGCCGTCTTTAAAAATCAACTACAAATTCAGCTCTTGCCACATCCGTTTCTAGCTTAGTATATTTCCCAAGTGAGTGTCTAAAGCCCTGATCAGGAAAACACGGAGGATAAGGATGAGACAAGATAGTATCTCACCTCTCAACCTCGAGTGTAAGTCCTTCCAAGGGTAAGTTTTGCTGCACCGGGTATGGAATCCCACCTCACCTTATAAGAGTAAAAACTGGAATTTCTTTTGAGCTACACTCGGTTTGAAAGCACATGATCTCAAAGCACATCCACCAGCTTCGCCTACCACTTTGCGGGTTAAAAATGAGAGGAAGGTAGTGGAGCTCAAAATAAGGAATATAAACAAACTAGCGTAGATCTATACAATGCTTCATAATTCATGCATATACACATCCGTATGCGTTACGTAATTCCCTGTAGGTTAATACCAAGCCACTGTAGCGAGATAAGCCGAAAACTGCATGAACTTTTTGATCACCTGAAAGCTATGTGAAAAATGCAAACTTACGTAGTAGTTTTGAGTCTTCTCCGAGTACTACAATTGGAGAAGAATAAATAATGAGTCAAATATTACGTTTTTGAGATTGTATACATTTACCAAAGAACCAAAAATACAAGTGACAACTAAGTAGGGGGAGAAGATACCTCTCTGAACCTACATTAATGTCTTTTTGCTATCATGAAATCGATTCAAAAAAGCAAAACCATTAATAAATGGCATATCTCCTCTCATATGGGATTAATGACGAAATTGAAAATCCGAGTCACCTTAAGACAAGAAATTCGACTTCATCTTTTTCAATTCAACGAGAATGGAGAAGTTCCCCATTTCATAGGGATATACACGTATTAGCAAATGCACCACTTTTACCTCAAGAAACATGCACCAATGGTTAACTACATCAGAAGTGAAACAAACGTCAGTGAGAAGTACCAGCAACCTACACGAAACTTGCGTTGTCCCATGAGGAAGGGAACTACGGTGACACGAACTCCTTCTGTAGTCTCCCGATACACAGTCTTCATTTCCAAGCTAGACTGCCGAGTCTCCAACCACCGCTGCAGGCGATCAGTTGGACAAAAACGGGGCTCTAAGCGACAAAAATGATTCTTTTTGATGTTAACTATTTCAATGACAACATTTGACCATATAGAATAAGTCTAGGCCATAAGGTGACTAGCATTAATGAAGCTGTTAAAGAGCTTCTACACTCCACTCAAAACGTGATATGATCAATGTTTCTCGGGCTTCAACACAAAACTTGCACCAAAAAGGGCGTAAAAATTTGCGAAGAATGTTTATGGATACAAAAAGCCCACCTCTATTGGGGTCAAAGCGTATAAATTCCTCAAAATATTCGTTTTTTAGGGGAAGGACATTGTTAGAGGTATAGGGGATTATGTCATCATGAAAGGCGTAGTCCATGCCTAGAAACAAAAATAACAAATTCTAGTATTTCTGATTAAGAAATAGACAACAATGAATTGAGAAAAGGTTTAAACAAGTAAAGACTGGCTTTAAAAACAGATAATAATATTTCTACGAGAATAAATGCTTGCACTCTTAGCATGAAGATGCGATAACTACCACGTCTTTGGAAAAGGGCCCACAAGAAAACCTATTACCACATGGAATGCAAGCAACGGGAAATCATCTACTCTACAGGATAATAGCCCTTCTCGATAGAATTTGCTTGATGGAAAGTATCCCGGAATTTGTCAAAATACGCTATATGTATTAACATCATTGATCATAGGGGCAGTGATCTAACGATGTTTGTTGCTCTCTAGCTTTTGATTGTAACATACTGGAAAATCTGTGACGATCGAAGTAATGATGATCATGGGTGGTGCGACAGAAGGCAGGGAGGCACTTCATTTGCATATTTCAGAGACTGGCTACTGAACTAACAGCAAGTCAGCCCCGATTTTTTGTGCTTGAAAAGGCCACTTCTAAATGCCTTCACCTTATAATATCTTCGAGAATAACCTACGCGTTACAACTGAATTCAAAGATTAATTGGATGAGCTCACCCAAAAAATCAACAATTCTCTATTTCATCAAGACAAAACAAGTAACATCGAGAACGCACCAGTCATCATGTAGATTGTGTTGAATAGACCCTCATCATCCGGTAAAAATGAGATGCCCGGAACCAGAGAGGAGTTCTATAGTCATGCAATAACAGAGGAAAATGTACGCGTAGATTGTTAAAGAAATGGACTCACACATAAGGCTGCATCCTGACTATCTAACAAGACAGTATACCCATACACAGAGCGCCCGCTTTCTGACGGAGGCTGTGGCATCGGCCCCTCCTCAATCGTTTGGTGAGTTGCCTGAGTACTAGTCTAGTCTACACCCCTGATCAAAATGGAACCTACGATTTAGCGGATGGGTCAGCGCCCAGAGCTAGGTTTTTGTCGAAGAGACGAGCGGACCAGGATTGAAGAATGACGCCACGGCAACCAAAGTGTCGATGCAGGATTAACTGGCCTGGTTCATAGGACGATTCTTGCAAGGGCTGAGCTTGACCAATAGGTACCAGACTAGAAGCCATGAGGATACGTAATGAGAGCTCACCAGAGAGATGAAGGTGCTGACATTAGACGCAGTAGTGAAATGATCGGTGTGAACCGACGGAGACGAAAGATTTGACGAGGTAACATGACCTACGTATGGAAACAAGACAGAAGCTAAGTTAGGAGAATGAGATGTGCAGAAGCATATTTAAAGGTTCTCCATGTAAAATGGGGTTTAAATAAAGAGGGAATTATGAAATGAGAAACAGCCAAGTCAGCAGACTAGACAAAGACCTGTGGCAAACGAGATGATTATACCTAGATAGAAATTCCTAAATGGATGTCACACATAAAGAGCCTAACGATATGTCTATACAAATACTTGGAAAACATATTTCTGGGAAGAAGTTGAACAGCCAACTTCGGTCCCCATAAAATAAAATCCTTCTTAGATCCCGCTATCTTGCAAAGGTCGAAATGCAACACATATACTTTAAAGGCATTAGATGACAAACTAATTAATGCACATGTTGAAGGTACTGACGGAGACTTCTGCGGAGTTCTTAAATTGTTCCGATTATTCAGAGCGGGTGATAAAATCTGACGCCCTAAAATATTGGGTACGTATTTTTGAGATCAATGATAAAGGAGCAATAAACGCCACCAGCAGGCTAGATCAAAATGCAGAGGCAGCCGCTAAGCGTAGCCACCAAAACGTGATCATTTGCGATAAGACCAATCACGGTGTAAGCAGGGACTGAGAGGTCGACTCAAGGCTAATCGCAAAATTTTGCAAGAAACAGAAAAAATTTGGCTTTTTTGTGCTAATGCACGGCAAAACATAACGCGACTTAATAAATTATTAGTACGATTTGCTTCGAAAGATAAAATTTGATCCATTTGTAGAATACTAATCTAAAACACATGGTTCAAGTTTAAACTTCAGTATATTCTTTGAGCACACATTGTAAAACTCAACGATACGTAAGGATAGCTATGTAAGGTGAGCTAACCTGATAATGACTTCATTCTTAGTTAAGTAGCACCCCCAAATTCTTAAATAAAAAATAGTGCTGAGATCAAAGCAACTTAAAGGTGTGGAAAGACCATCGTCATTGATAATACTTGTGCATATGCAAATTATGTTCTGTAGTGGAATACTAGGGGTAGGTTCTTCTCTTCCTCATTATAATGCATAAAAAGGATAGTTTCTCTTAATTAAAATTTTTGAATGGGGTATTTAGATGCTGCAGAGTACCATACAGAACTGTTCCTGCTAGTCTATTAAGTCCTCAGCTAAAGCTGGAAGTTGGCGGTTAGTTTGTAAATCTTCCAGTCTTAACTGGTGCGCCATGAGTGGACATCTTCCTACACGCATTAAGAAGGTAGGCGTGATTCTAAGTTACAACCTCTTGCAAGGAGACAGAAAGACTCCAAAAGGAGCCTGTCGATGGCATCAAGATAGCAATTGATGACTCGAACGCTCGATATTTTCATGTCATTGTCGAAGGCCCAAAGGATTGTCCATATGAGAATGGTTTTTTCAAACTACAGCTATTTCTTCCAGAAGATTACCCTATGGCTGCTCCCAAATGCCTTTTTATAACCAAAATCTATCACCCGAACATTGACAATCTGGGTCGCATTTGTCTCGACATATTAAAAGGTTACCTTCATCTGTTATTCGGTTTCTGGTTGATTTTGTTTAATTTTTTTCCGTAGAGGTGTTCTCCTAACTGAATTAAACAAGTCTGCTGCTTGTGTATCGGCCAAAGTCATTATTGCTACCATTTATCCTGCTTTAGACAAATGGAGTCCAGCCCTTCAAATCCGGACGGTGCTTCTGTCGATTCGGGCCCTTTTGGGTGCTCCTAACCCGGATGATCCTCTCGCAAATGATGTTGCTAGTCAGTGGAAAGCAGATGAGGCTCAAGCTATTAAAACCGGTTGGTTGCAAGTCTTGTCCTTTTTCAGGATTATTTGGTAAGAAAATATGTCTGTTCTCTGTTTCTGTCTTCAACAGCTCGCGAATGGACTCGTCTGTATGCCAGTCGAAGTAATCTTGGTGACACTTCCGACTTCCGCTAGGTAGCTCCTTGAATGCAGCCGTCATTGCAGAGCGATATATATATATATCATTTTCCCCACTCTGCACTGAGATTTGCAGAATTCCCGTTGCTTGCTCGTTCGTTTTGCATTCTGCTAGTGATTTATATCCATTACTGTCCGCACTTCTAACTCTCCTATTTTGTCATATTCGGAGGGGTGAATTTTTTTGCTGACTTAGTGTAGATTATCTTCGGGCATAAATTACCAACTCACTTCAGGGTTCGCATAGTTTATGCTCGTGTAATCCTGGAAGCTGCTAACTTTAGATGGTTAGGTGTGACAGACAGAGGAGTTTCGAATTCACTGGAGGGTGTCGCGGCGCGATTGGCGTTCTAAGGGTTCGATTAATTCCGCACGGTGGGTACTGTAGCGCTTCTTCCAGGCCTGATCGTAGGGGCAGCTATTGGCTCGCGTAACGCCTACAGACAACGTGGCTTCTGCCACCAAGGTGTTTTAAATAAATCAAAAGGCTTTTTAAGAGCGGGCGTTGACTAGACGATCTGGAGCTGATTACCCATGTTTTTTTATATTGTCTCATGTGTTCATAAAAAGTGTTTGTTCACAAGAAAATTACTTTACCGAGATTCCGTTTATCAATTTGGATGCTTATTTTTTCTGATGGGAAAGTGATAACATGTCATATTCGTGATCTGGTTAGCTTGATTCGGCTGACTTGTATTCTGATCAGTACGAATTAAGATCTGTAGGTCCAGGATTAGGTAGTCTTAGGCTTGCCCTTTCCCTAAACTTGTGTTTAGTTGGTAGAACAGGTAGTGGAAATGTAACCTCTTTACACATCTGTCGGTGAGCGCATTAAATGGGTTCTATCTCTCAAACTGTTGAAGTGCTTTCGATTCCGCAAAACTTTTTTTGCTAATAAACAACTTTTCATGGGACTACATTTCTGTAGGAATTCCTTCGGAGTACTTCCGAATACCATCATTCGACAGAAATGGCTGGTGATATATTTCGGGTGCGCACCTGGTTACTCTGCCATTTCCCGTAGTCAGTCATGTGACTTTGTGGCTCTAATTTACTATAAGATAAACTTGTATACCAATTATTTTAGCAATTTCAAATGGCACTAAGTGACGTTGGAAAGACCATTAAGCCTACTTGAATTAAATAAGTAGACAAGGAATATGGACAAGTAATCCAGGCATATGATTCCGCATTAGGAAATTGAAACAACACCTTAACGGCATCAAAGTATGCGGAAGCCGAAAAGGTATTCTATTCTTCAGCATTCAGAGCAATACCAATCTTGCTTTAAGTCTGAAAACGTAAGTCTTATCTAAGCAGATTACAAACTTTTGCCATTATCATGTTTCAGTCATAAAGGGCATAGGGTAACTACATAAAAAGCTATCCTCAATGTTAGGAGGTGTGTCCAATTAATAATGTCCCATATGCTTTCCGATTACGCGTTCATTGTGTAGTGCAGTTTTTCGAGTCTTCTCTCCAGGTCAGAGGAGTCCTTCAAGGCTATGAGGATAACCGAAGGTCAATGTGCTGAGATGCAGGTGTAAACTGTGAAGACTAAACGGCCCTCATAGTTAATTATTCATCAAGCCAAAATCAGATTATTACACCCCCAATCTTCTTTTGAGTGTTTAGCCCGCTGTCTTCTTGGTCTTTCTTCCTCCTTGAACAACACAATGTGTTTGGTGCTTCATAGACCACCTCACAAACCAGCAACAGTATTAATTGTACCCTTTTCATAGAGGCACGGAGGCCCCTGTCCCAGAGTCAAGGATTTTAGCTTTGGCCCATTTGTGAGCTCCATTGCAAGAGGGGAAGCATCAACCGACTTCGTTTTTAGTGGCCCTGCAGTCAGTGCATCTCACAATCTGGTAGCTAACTTAAATAGGTTAACCAGAAAGCAGATCCCCTGACTAAAAGAAAGACTCAAGTGCCTTTCATTCTGCATTTTCTCCTGGCTAATCTCCTCTTATTTCATTGCTGCACAGCAATCTATCTGAGGTGCATTCAAGCATCAGAGACAGCATGTTCACATTATTCACATGCCTCCCAATAACTAGCGTGAACAGCTTTGTCACGAACTTTCCCTCATTCTTTATATATGCTTTCGCCTAATATTAATTGGGGAGATTTTCTCTTAGTAATATATGGGCAGTAGCGGAGCAAGGAAATGTGAATGGGTGCCCTCTTGACTCGGAATCGATTACTGGTGCTACCAATGGAGAGCCGTGAGTACACTACAATGTCCTTTAAAATATCCATGTTTTCGAAAGTTCATCATTAATTTTCAGAAAAGCTGCAACAGTATAGATATGCCCATCCGATCTGTTAGACTTACTATTCTCGATATAGATTTCTAAGTTATAGAGAAATAAAAATCTGCATGTACATCCACAAGTTGCTTTCATGATGGAGGAAGCGAAAAATGACCTTTTTTGTGCACTTATATGCCTCGTGGGAGAACTAACCCCAAAACATGATGTACAAGACGTTAAGGTAGTCAACTTAATTGTGAATTTTACTTTATCCTTAATATAGCATACTAAAATACAAGACTACGACAAAACTACGCAATGCTAATTCAACCCTTAAAGTCGAGCAGCATAGGTCTGATGTTCTCCTCAAACACCATCAACAGTAGTGCGATTTCTCCTTATATAATCTTCTGTGTCACGTCCTTTACCAAAACGCGATAAATTAGTTATTCCTCTTATTGTTTCACCATTCCTAACATTTGGAATCTTCTCGTGATGCCGTTTTTTGCTCAAGAGTCCAGAACCTTAGATGGACTGATTTGGTTTTATCATTGCGTAGGAATGAGTTTCTTTGACACTCCAGTCCTCAACTGGTAGGTTGAAAAACATAAAGGAAGGCTTATCCATAGTTGAGGTTAAGAAGTTAGATTATTTAAATCTCATTGATTTATCAAATGAATAAAATATTTATGTCCTAAAATATTCAATGGTCAAAAGTTATTTTTTTTTGTTCTAATCTTTTTTACCGATCTGACTACAATCTGATTAACCATGAGAGCGGTGTGAACGAGCTGAGTGTACGGTAAGGACTAGAAGGTTACCCTTGTAGTCAGGCAGTGAAGATTCCGTGTAACGGTGATTTTAATGATCTTATACTGTCTCTCGCGTTTGATTCAATTGTCCAACTGCCAAGAGTCTACCATCATTAAATTTTAAGTACTTCGCCATAGCTTGATTTTACCTCTTTACTGCCTTCCCTAATCCCAATTTAATCATGGAAAATAAATTCGATCACTCCTTTACACTCTCTCCTTTGCACAAGGATGAATTAAACTTCCGTCGTATGTGTGTTTGTGTGTGTGCATGTGGTTCTAATTCCACGTCATTCCAAAGACTTCGCATTCACTGTTCAGGCAGTTTGATTCTCGAAATGTCTGACAGCATGAGAACGCAGTGATGAGATTCAACGCATTTCTAGCGTGTGGTTTTAAGCCTTTAGCAAACAAACTTCTTAAATGCAACGCTAATTTTAAGCCTTAATAGCTTACGCCCAAGATTGTGGGGCCAGCTAAGTAAAATGAGGGTTTGTAATGTTACAGGCATAAAGTAGCACATACTAAGTGGGAGGTGTGGTTTTTTTCTCCAAGTTAATGTATAAGCCGTGGGTCAGTCCAAGAGACGTAAACTGAGATGGCAGATAATAGCGGCAGTAGTGTGCGTATGCAACAGTGTAAGCGAAGTCGCTATGTGAAGCACTGGCCTCTAACTCGAAGATATCCAAGGGGCATTTAAAGTACGTGCAGTGGTCGGTGGCATTCACCACTTGAAACCCCTGACTCTGACCTCCAGATCGGTGCATAACATACTGCAAAATCAAACAATGGGGTAATCATTCACTAGTATGCTATTTTGGAAAGCTAATGCACCACAGGCACCATGACTACTCTAGGATCTTCCATCAGTACAGCAGGATGGTAGAGAGTGACTAGAGCGTGGTAATAAATCTTTCTAGGCTATAGCTTTCCAGGTATGATGTGTGTGCAATATAAAAGTCTGCAGACCATTCTTTTGCATCACTGTTAGTCATAGTGGTGAATTTGAAATTGCCACGTTTAAAAGGGATTCATAAATTTTTTTTGTTCATCTGTTTGAAGTTATTTTAAATGTATTCGTTCTCAAGTAATGCTAATCTTCTCTAGCTAATCCAATTTGGCGTAGGTCATCTTTAAAGCCATTACTAGGTCATTAGTAAGCCGTTCCCTAATTCACTGCCACCAAAGTTACATCTTAGTGGCTTTTTGTGGCCTTTAAAACGGGCACAATTCCGAAGGAGCAAGCTCCATGTAGCAGATACAGGCGACTGCAGCTTAGCGGGCTGAAAACTTCTGTCATGTTACATTTATTATTCTAGTATATCATTCTGCGCCACATATTTGGCGTGACTTTATCGTAAACTGACCAATTTGCAAAGTAGCGATCGTCAGTGATGCCAAGTATGCAGTAAAACTAGCTGACTCTTTTACTGCCACAGTTTAAAAGGCGAATTGACCACCACAGCTCAGATGTCAAATAATGCGGACACGCTTTTTGACAAACTCAACTCTGACTATGAGTAGGTGAAGGTCTATTTTCTTGGTGTAAACTCACCCAAGTCATTTGGATCATGATTTGATCATAACCTGATTAAAAGTACATGTCATGTATTTGTGACAGGATTTTTAACAGGAACTCTGCTATAAGTGAAAGCTCTGGCTTAAATAATGCTTTATTTTTTAAAATTAGAAATATGTAAAATAAAGATGGACCGAGATAGAAGCCCCCAAATACACACACGCACCGGTGCATTCGAGACAGATGTCTGTTCGAACACTCTACAATTTCGCCTATTTATCTACCGTCGAAAAACTGCTGCCCCAATGCCTTTTCACCTTCCCACTCCCTCCTTCGCCTCCACTCTCGTCTTCCTTCCGATCAAAGGTAATGATCGTTTGGCAGCGGTGGTGATATAGGGGAGAAAGGAAC